GGGCAGCTCTGCCTTGACTGACAGCCCAGCTACATGGCCTTGAACTCTGCCCAGTTCTGCATCGGCTCAGCCACGTTGGCTGCAGGCCTTCCCGCTCTGCCGCGTGCTCTCAGGGACCTGCCTTCTCAGATGCAGCCACGTGCTCTCAGCAGGCCTTTTGTGAGAAGGCAGGTTTCACCATGTACCTGCAGGTCTAGGCCCAGCCCTTCCCCCCTCACACACACACACACTCACAGTGAATTGGTTCCGACCCATATCAATAATTCTGTGAGATTCGGATCCCATATCTCTCAACTGGTCAACTCCATTTCTCAGAGAGCACCAAGTCTGTTACAGGCAGGAGCTGGCAGTCGATGTGTATTGGATTGAGGTCACAGCAGGAGTGGAGATAGGTGAACAACACACCCTACACACCCCACGTGTGAGGATCCAAGGTCTGTTGAGGTAAAAAGCAGCTTTGCTCCATTTCAGACCCATTTTGTGCTCTGATCCCTCTCCCTGAGTTTTGTGGGGTCTGTGCAACAGTCTCGTGTTCCTCTGGCAATGCTCTGCAGACCAAGAGTTGGGGTCATGGGGCATCCTGGAGTTGGTTATGGGGCACGTCGTGTTGGTTATGGGGCTCAGTGGGATAATAATTAATCAACAATTTAATAATAATTAATTTAATAATTAATTTAATTAACAGTAGATTTAGGAAGTGTTTGCTAACTAAAATAATTCTAGATTTAATTAATAACTGAATAAAAAAACAGTAACAAGATTAAAATATAATTAAATAATTAGAATTAAACTCTTTAAAATATTTTAATGTTTTATATGATTTAATACTATATCAATATTTTTAATAATTATGATAATAATATATAATATATATACATAATACCTATATTAGTCCATGGCAGTGGCAGTGAGGACAAGGAGGAGGAGGAGGAGGTGGGCGATGTCCCTTAAGGAGCTCTTTTAAGCACCTCCCTCTCTCCGCCTTAGCCACTTCACACCTCGTCAGAGCAGCTTTGCCATGGGAATTGGCTCTTTGTGGCTCCCATGACCTCAGTCACACATCCACAGCGACTCAAATCCCGGAGGGACATGAGCCCACCCTCCCTGCTGGGCTCTGCTCCTGCTTCAGAGAGACCAAACCCCCCTTTATCCGGGATCCCAATGTCCTCCCAGGGGCAGGGACAGGCCGAGGCACCAACTACCATCTGTGCCAGCCCCCCTCTGTCCCAGAGAGGCCCCGGGGAGTGACATCCCTCAGCATCTCTGTCCCAGCCCAGGGGGGCTCTGCTTTGAGCGGAATGGGCTTTGGAGGGGCCGATGTCCCTGATGGGGCTGGATCCCTTCCCTGTGGGAAACCATGAGAGAGGAAAGACCTTTTGTGCCTTTTCCTGAGTTGCTGGTGGCCAAAATCCAACTTTGCTGTTGAGCATCTTCACTGTCCGTCCCTAGCTGGGGGCAGAATGTTGGCATGAGAAGGTTTTGTTCTTATCACCCCATTTTCTTGGGAAGAATGCAAAACAGAACCAGTCCCCACAGACACCATGTAGGGATTCAGCTACTTGGCTCTTTGCAGCTCAGCGGAGCTGAGGAGCCCTGCAGCCACCTCTCCCCTCACTCCAAACATTCCCAGGGCTTTGCTTGGGGCCTTCCCGTGCCCAGGATAACTCTGGGTGCAGCTCAGGGGAGGAAAGGGAGGAACTGAGTTCCAAGGCTCTGCAGGTTTGCTGGGACAAGTGAACAAAGAGGCACCTGAGCAGAGTGATGTGGGGGTACCTGCAGCTGAGGCAGAGCACTAAAAGCAGGGCAGAGAGCACAGAAGAGCTGCTTCCTCCCTTGCTCCCAGGACAGTCATGTTGCAGGTCCTTGCTGGTGCTGGGCTCGGCTAGGAGCTGAAGGGGTCGGGACCCTGGTCCTGGTGGGCGTCATGAGATGGTTGCTGCAGGGACAAGGTGAGTCATCCAAAATGGGGAAATCCCTCCTGAATCCATCACAGCCCAGCTCCAGGCAGGAGCTGGAGCAGATTCCTCCTGTATTTCTAGCAGAGAGCAGCTCCTGGGCAGTGTCAATCCCTGATGGGCAGGAGGAGAAAGCTACCAGCAGGGGCTGATTGATGTGATTTTGGAGTCTGATCTGCTGCAGGTCCCTCTCTTCACCCTGATGGTTGTTGCAAAGACTCCACGGGTCCCCTCATAGATCCATGTTCCCAGGGAGCCCCTCACTCCATCCCCGAGTGATGACCCAATATGGCAGAGCAACAACTTCAGGTGAAACCTACCCTCATTTCAGGAGTAAAGGGTGAAAATCCACCTGCGTTCCAGGAGGAAAGGATCAAACCCGTTCTCATTTTAGGTGGAGACAGCCCCATGCTGAGCCAGGACATGGAGCACGTGCTCCTGGGGAACCTGCTTGACCAACTCCAGCTGACAGAACATTCTGGAGTTCAGCTGCTCCTGGATTGCTTCCAGCAGCAGCTGAGGAAGTGGCTGTGTGAGGAAGGGAGTCACCATTTACCAGGTGCCACAGTCCAGCATCACCCACATTTTTGGGGCTGTGGATGGACACCCCACCTCATTAGGGATGTTGCAGCGTTGTTATCTCTTTTCCATGTAGAAGAGAGACAAGTCCAGGAACATTTTGGAAAGCACCCTGAACTCCCCCAGTGGTCCCAGTTGTTATCCCTGTGCCCTGCATGCGACCATAATAAACTCAGTATCAAAAATCTCCTCCCAGTCTCCATAAGCACATATTTAAGCAGCACCAGGAAGCTGATCCCAGTCTCCGTGAGCTCCACTGTGAGGGTGAGTACTGAAAAGCACCTTCTGGGCTATAAAACTCGGGACTGATGGAGTCAGCACCGGCCAGAGTGATGCCAGGACTGGGACAGGGCTGAGCACCCAGGTCATGGTCTTGTCTTTGGGGGGGCTGAAGTAACCACCTGATTAATTCAATGTGGCATATTGAAGGGAAGGAGGAATAAAACCCCAAAATCATGACTTTACAGCTGGTTTTAGTGAGGCTTTTGCCACCACAGGGTTGGTTTGAGTGTCTGGAGGTGGGATTTTGATGGTTTGTAATTTGTTTTGCCTTGCAAGCACTTTTCAGTGATTTTGTTGGGGTTTTTTCAGCCCCGTGTAGCTGATGGGTTTGTTCATCATGAAAGGAATTGAGAAAATCATGATGAAAAGAGGCAAATAACGATACAATAAAAAGGAATTAGATTTATTTCAGTGCAGTGGAATTAGTGATTTGGGGGAGCTAGAGCAAACCAGCTGGAAACCACAGTAAGCTTGGGAGGGATTAAACTTGGGCAGGAGCTCGGGCTGCACCAAGTGGGCTCTTACAACATGAACCTTCGTGCAGTCTTTTCAAGGGATTTTTTTGCATTTTTACATTCATCGCTATGAAGCAGAGACGAATGTGGGACTGAAATTTTGACTTGAAATGAGGCAACTGAACATGTGCACTGGGACTTCTGTAGTCTCAAGCGTGATGCTTTAGTTTTGAAAATATTAAAGCCTTCTCTCTCCCCCAGCCCACTGGTTTCTGGCTCAGATCCAGCTCAGAGTTCGGACAGTTCTGGGCTTTGTCCTGTCGAACTTTGGGACCTTCCTGGATGAGGAAGCAATCCTCTTCCCAGCCCATCCTGTTTTTGTTTTCTCTATTGTAAAGTTCAGCTCCAACGGAAATGCTGTATCCAAGCATGTCCTCCATATTGCCTCCTGTAAGTTCCCTGAGGGAACTTCCTTGCGATTATTCCATGTCTATTTATGGACAAAGGAACTGTCCACCTATGTGGCTTTTAGACCTTATTAGTGTAATGAAATATCATTGCAATTATGCATTATGCAACAATACATAATCATACTAGTAATAATACAATGCACAATGTGTTGCATTATGCAATGAAATATCATTGTTTTATCAGAGAATGTTTGGTAAGTTTTTATTAGTGTGTTTTATGCTGCTAAATTACACAAGACCCAGGAGGGAACAAAAGCTGCTGCCCCTGTTGGTTCGGGGTACAGGGAACCAAATTGTGCTCATGGGTAGTTGGGCACTGGAGGAACCAGATCAGGGATTCCTGTGGGCAAAACAAGCTTGCAATGAGCTACAAATGGGAAACTTCAACTGAACAGTTATTCCATACTCAGCTGCTTTCCCTCCTGCAGGTTTTTGGAAAAGGGGCTCAAAGCACAAACTCTGTTTCGATCCATCAGTGTGTTTCCTCCCTCTCAGCAGCAGCTCCTGACTCCTTACCAGGATCCTGTCCTCTCTCAAACCTTTCAACTCCCTTTGTTGTTGCCTAAAATCAGCACTTAAAAGAAACTTCTAAGATACATTTTTTTGTTTTAGCAGGCAGACATTTATCACAATGCACTGGAATGATTCCAGTGCTCTGGGTGCCCTGGGAATGAGTTCCCAAAGTACACACAAAGGTATCTCCACTGCAGCTTCTCTGTCAGCATTACGTGATTATTCATTCTTCATTCCCGCATTCCTGTTACATATTCATGACATTTCCCAACACTTGTTAGCATATATGCATATCCTTATAAGGGCTCTGAGGGGCTTCATTGGGAGTCTCTGGTGGCCATCTGTGTCTGGAGCCCCAAAGTTCTGAGTCTCTGCCTTATGAATTCGTTTAAGACAATACCTCTGGTTATTCATCAACCTCGCATTGCCTGCTCAGCTGTTTTCAGTTCCCTTCTTCACTGTTTCCTCACCTTACTTGACTGGTTTCTTTAAATTGAGGGACAGTAATTTTCTGTGGTACATTCTGCTGCAAAAACCATTATTTCTTGTTACATCTCTGAACCCCAGCATCACTGTGAGCAGTCAAACACATGTGTATTTATTTAATATTTAAACTCTCTTTAAGCTTGTCTTTTTCTCTGTTTACTCCTTTGTTTTGGTCTTTTTCCCTGTCTTTATCTTTTTTAATCTTTCTCCTTCCCCTCTCTTTCCCTCCCATCTCTTTTCATGTCCCCTCCCTCTGTCCTGTCTGCTGCCTCCTCCCCTGTTATGCCTCTTTAGCTCAGAACAAACCGTGCCCTGCCAGGGCTTCCCATAGTGCCTCTTGCCCCTGACACCTCAGGGGGTTACAGAGGCCAAAATAGCTCTGGATGGGTAGATGGGATGTGGCAAACATGGTGAAAGTTCAGGGGGATTTGAGCACAATTCAGGGGTATTTGGGGATAATCCAGGATTATTTGGGGAAAGTTCAGAGGTATTTGAGGAGTGTTCAGGGTATTAGAGAATAAGTCATAGTATCTGGGAGACTTAATGTATTTCCAGAGGATTCAGAGATGTTTGTGGAGAGTTCAGGGTATCTGGGGAGAATTCAGAAGGGTTTGGGAGAGGTCAAATGTATTTGGGGAGAGTTTGGGCATATTTTAGAATAATTCAGAAGTTTCTGGGAAAATTCAGGTATTTTTGGAGGATTCAGAGGTATTTGGGGGGGAATCAAAGGTATTGTGGAGGAAACAAAAGTGTTTGAGGAAGTTTCAGTTATTTTGGGAGAATTCAGAGATCTTAGGGAAAGGATCAGAGTTACTTTGGGAGGAATTCAGGCATATTTTGGGCTAATTGAGCTATTTTGGGATAATCAGGTACACATGGGTCTCTGTCTACCCTTCCCTCCCAGCTCAGATCTGCCCCATGGGACCCCAACCCTTCTGTTCTACCCCAAACATGCCACCAGCATTTCCCCTGCCCATCCCTCGGAGCAGCTCTTTTAATGACATGGGGCAGCAGGAACCCCTCAGTCCAGTTCCATAAACCCCTACTGGCCCCGGCTGCGGCTCTTTGAGTGACACGGGGTGGCAGAGACCCCCTTGTGTGGGTCTTTCAGTCACAGCGCAGCTGCCAAGGAGGGTCTGGATACTCCCTTATCCTGGGGGCCATGGGATCAGGGGCCCAGGCAAAGCATCTTACAGGGCTTTAGCAGAAAGGCTGCGGCCGGGGGAAGGATGGAGTAAGGCACAGCAGGGAGGACCTGATACACACCATTCATTTATTTGGTTTTGCCACTTGTTTGACACCTCCTTGTCCCTCTCAGCCCCATCGGTCAAGAGACATCCAGCACCTCAGCGCCTACTCTGCACTCACCCCCCAAAGCCCGGGGGGGGACACAACCCCATTCGGGGGGGGCAGAGCTGCTGCTGGGGCACAGGGGGGAGGGGCCGGGGGATCCTTTATCCCCCTCGTTCAGCTCCAAGCGCCCGAGGCCAAAGTTCTGGTTTCTGGGGCTGTCCCCCCAATTGGTTTGGGGCCTGCGGGGGCTCGCCCGATCCTGGCGGGGACACGGCCTTGAGGGAACTTCCGCGGTAACCAGGAACCCCCGCCCGGCTCATGCGCTTCCCCGGCCGGTCACTGTGCAGCGCTGCAGATCCCACGGCTGGACCGCGGCTCAGTTCCCGGGGTGAAGAGTCGGCCGAGGCGGCGCCGCACGGACACGGGATCTGCGTTCCACTTCCATCGGCTGATTTCCCCCTTGGTCAGAGCGGTGTGGGCGAACACCTCAGCCGCTATAAAAGTGGTGGAGGCAACCAGAGCCTCTTTGCGGCTGCGGTGCTGAGAAGGGTCCGGCAGGCTTGTCCTGCCCCGTGTCCCCTCCCCAGGGGCCGCTGAGGGAGCGGCTGCCCATGGTCGTCTTCTTCCCAATGACCCCTCAGCATGCTCGGAAGGAGCCGGTGCCGCAGCAGCGCTGGCTCATCCCGGTTCTTCTCGGTTAGACTGATTTGGCTGCCCCATCACCAACAGAGTTACTGGTCAGGTGGGACCAGACCTGGAGTGACCTGGGCTGGTGGGAGGTGTATCTGCCCGGGGCAGGGGTGGGACGACATGGGCTTCCAAGTCCCATTCAACCCGAACTATTCTGGGACTGAGAACAGACACAGTCAGTGGAGACAGGAAGAGTTGCCAGGGCATTCCTGGGAATCATGCAACCCCATTTCCACATTTCTCCAACAAAATTAAGGAACTCACTCTGTGTCCCTGGTCTCCCAACTGCCTTTCCCTTCTTAGACGCCCCTTCTAACTCTGCGGCGAGTCAAAATATGGAGAATGGAAACAATGCGAGAGGAGGTCTGGGTGAGTACGGAGAGGTGGGGAGGTCTGTAGGGAGGGGAAGTGTCACCCCAGCAGGACGGGGCTGGCAAGTGTGAGGATCCTCCAGGTGTCTGGAAGAGGCCTTGTGCTCTGCTCGGCCCCGTCAATGGCCAGTACCAACACCCCCAGCTGCCCCCAGCTCTGGGCAGCTCTGTTGCCACAGGCTGTGCCCTCACCTGTGTCCCTGGCTGTCCTCTCACACATGTCCTGTGTCCCTGGCTGTGTTCCTGGCTGTCCGCTCACCTGTGTCCCCTCACCTGTGTCCCTGGCCCTTGGCTCTCTCATTGCCAGCTGAGTGAGAGGCACATGGGCTGGGGGTCCCTCCCACTCCCATGGGCAGCCGGTGTTGGGTGGGGGCATGTGAGGGCTGGGACTGCTCAGGACAGCCCTGTCCTCATGGCTAGCAACTTTTTCCTGCTCCAGGCAATAGGTTCGTATCCCATCCAAGGCTCACCCATGAAATGGTTCTGTTCCTGCTCCTGACCCTGCCTTTGGCAGTGGCCGTGGTTGTGCTGGGAGGTAAGGGAGGAACCTCAGCCCAGCCCTTCTGCACAGCGTGGAGTCCCTGCTCCCTGTGGAGGGGAATCCTCAGACATTCTCCCTTTCTCTCTCCAGCAAGATGCAGTGGACAGGTTCCAGTTGTGCCTGCAGCTTCACAGTTGCTGTCCTGTCCCTGGGACTGGGTCGGGTACCGCAGGATCTGCTCCTGCCTCTCGACAGATATGGGGACCTGGGAGCAGGGCCAGGATTGGTGCTCCAAGCTCGGGGCCTCCCTGGCCGTTCTCAAGAATGAGGAAATGGTGAGTGAGGGGCTGTGGGGGGTGCAGGGCAACGGAGGGGAGGCTGGGGGGGTTCCTGAGTTGGGTAGAGCCCTACAGCCCCCAGGGTCAGTGCTTGCAGGGCCAGGGGTGCAGTCCCGCTCTGGGGCCTTGCAGGGAAGGAGCCCCAGGAGGGTCCCCTCGAGGGGCTGGGGCAGCTCCCACTGCCGGCTCCACTCTTCCGTCCAGGGCCTCCTCTTCCTCCTCAGGGGTGACATCAATTACTGGCTCGGGCTGCGGAGACGGGGTGAGCAGCTGCAGTGGGGGGACGGCAGCAGCTACAACTCCTCGTGAGTCCTGGGGAGCCAGGCAGGGGCTGGGGGGACGGACAGGGCCTGGGGGGGACAAGGCTACTGGTACAGTCCCTCATGGGCAGTGCTTGTCTCCTGCTGCTGCTGGAGGGGACAGGGGGGACAACCTGTCCTGTGCCAGCTCTGTCTCTGCTCCTTGTTGCAGGGTCCCTGTCCTTGGCGATGGAGAGTGCGTGTACCTAGGTGATGGTAAACTCAGGAGTGGGAACTGCTCAAATCAGCAGCCATATCTCTGCAGCAAACCCCAAACTCACCTGGCACAGAGGTGATGGAGAAAGAACCTTCTCCATGCTGGGCACTCACAGTTTTTCCTCTTCCCCCAGTGAAGAGGAAAATAACGTTTATTCTCCACTTCCCATCAGCAGTGATGTCCGGCCACATCCTGGGAAGCAGCAGGGCTTCAGCAGTTTATAATGGTTTCTTAGCAAGCAGCCATTGGAAACAACGAATGCCCCTCTTCCTGCTCCTTTCCTTACCTTTTATATCTGAGCTGATGTCATATAATCTAGAATATCCTTTTGGTCAGTTTGGGTCAGCTGGCCTGGTTGTGTCCCCTCCCAGAATCTTGCTCTCGATTGGCAAAGGAATGTTACAGTGCTGATGCTGTGCCAGCCCTGCTCAGCAGTAGCCAAAACACTGCTGTATTATTAAATGCCCTTCTAGCTACCATGCAAAGCAAAACACTCTGAGAGCTGCTATGGTGAAGCAAACAAGGCCTGAGCCAGGGTTGACCTTTAGATGAACCTTCCAACCTAATGTTATATTTAGCCATGTATCTGCTTATTAGCCAAAATTATGTATAATCATTAATAAAATACGTACTATGATAAGAGTACACCTGTGTAAACATGTATGGTTGTTAGTACAATATATTTCTATCTGCTTATTAGTGAACATTTGTTCTTTCTTTCTGTATTTAGAGACCAGTCAAGGCCTTGGAAGTGGATATCTGGCCTTGTTTGGCAGTAGAGGGTCAAAACTAACTACCTTGATTTTCCTCTGAGTCCTGGTCAGGTTTTGGGTGAAACCCAAGGAGATAAGTAAGCCAGATGTTTTTCTGTACTAAGTAGTGATGTAAGATTGTTTGTTTAACAATATAAAAGCTGGACCCTTTCACAGCAAAGACAGGGACCTCACCTACGAGTGGACACACTGAGTAGGATTTCCCAATTCCTGGGAGCGGTTCTCCAGCTGGGATCGGGGCCTCCCCATCTGATATTACAGGTAATGTATTAAAGGGGCAACTAATGATGTATCTCTCTCTTAATCACTACAGAATTTCTTTGTAGTAATGATTAGATGCATTACTGAGCTTCTCTTTTGTAATTCCTTGCTTCTTTTGTAATTCTTTGTTGTTTTGCATAATAGTAAATTTGCACACTTGTTCTTTAAAGTTGATGTCTGTCTGCCTTGTGCTGACACTCCTCCCCTGGCAAAACAAATTGGCATCATTGGCTCGGATCTGAAAAAATGTTGCTTTTTAAATTTAAATGTGAGGGATCAGTCCCATCCCACATTTTCCTCTGGGATGATGTTCCCTATAGTTTGCTGGCTCTTGAGTGGGCTAAGGGTCTCAGCCTCCTTCACAGCTGTCCCAGGCAGGGCTTGGGGAAGGGCCCGTGTCCCATGGGTGCTGGAGGAGGTGGTGGGTGGCGGGACCCCTGGGCACAAACCCCCCTGGTCACAGAGCCCCTGCGCCACCACCACACCCGCTCTTGGGCCGGGGCTGTTGGAAGGTGACGCTGCACAAGGATGCTATGACAAAGCTTCTGCCCCAAGCCCTGGCACTGCTGGGGAACTGTGTGGCCCAGAATTGTGGGCCTGGGCTGGGGAAAGGCAATGGCTGAGGATCATCAGCCCCATCCCAGCCCAGCTGAGCTGTTCCTGCAGAACAGCCCTCATGGCCCTGTGGCAGCTCTGTGTCGGTTTTTTCTTCCCAGCAGTGGCGATGGCTCCAACCCCATGCCAAGGGCTGTTCTCCAGGCTCACAGTTCAAGGCAGAAGCGTGCTGCTTTGGGGACAGAGTGTGTTGGCTGGGCAGGCTGGAGGAGGCAGGAGGAGGCTGGGCATAAGTGCTGGCATATATTAACTGAGCTGAGCTGATGTCTGTCACCACGTTAGCTCTAGAATTACTCTGAAGCCCAGGAAGACTCAGGTCCCTTGGGAGGTGAACATGGAACTTTTCCACACTATTGGATCAAGTTCCCGTCCCAAACTCCGAACCAGCGTGAGGTGGAGGGGGGCACAGGTTGGGTTTTGCCCCATTCCCAGGTTGCGCAGGAGCAGTGCTGGTTCCAAGACGCCGTCGCAGCACGAGCAGCACCCCGTTGTGCCGCCCCGGCCCCGCGCCTCGCCGCGACCCGCGTCGCAGCTGAGGTCGCGTTCCGAGCGCCACTCGCGGACCCCGCGGCGCGACCGGCCTCGCCTCCCCGTCTCCGCAAGCGCCGGTTACGCAGTGCTGCCGCTGCAGCATCGGTTTCGCCTCCGGAGCACTCCGAGGAGGACCCAGAATTTATAGATAAGCAAAAGACTCCTGACTTTCAGAACACGTGGTCGCGAGTGCGGGGGGGGGGGGCGAAGGGCGCGCGGTAAACGTGGTAGCTTTGGAGGTTTTTCCGGGTCTGTTTTCGTCTGACCGGGATCTGCGCGGGGGGGGGAACGCAGCCGCCGCCGGACTCGGGGGAGCTTCTGCGCCAGAGGCGACCTGATGGAGGAGGAAAAAAAGGAGGACACAGCTCCCCAGGAGCCCTAGTCGGGCTGCGGCAGCTCAGACTTGGCAGGATGGGACGGCTGACAGAGGGACGGGAGGTTTTAGATTCTTCAGCGGGGGGTGGGGGGGACGCGGTTGGCATGGTTACCGCTACTATTCCAATGCGAAGACGAGAAAGTCTGGAGAGCGCAGGGGACGCGAGCCGAGACTGCTAGGATTATCGGTGCTGGGAAGGGCATATATTAACTGCACTATCGACGCTGGCAGCGCTCTGTTTCGTGCTGCGGGAGTTCCGATTGGGAAGTTGCGAACAGCTCGCCAGCACAGTCAGCACGGCTAGCAACACAGAGATAACGCTGCGAGAAACAGCGACCACGCAGCTATGGGCCGCTACATGTAGCCCTTTGAGGCACAAAAAAAGCAGCTTTGCTAATCGGCAGGTCATCTTTTACTTTAAAAAGGGCTTTTTTGTTGCCAGGGGGAATGGATGCAGATTGGGGGGGGGGGCGAGTCAGATGTTTGCCCCTCACGATTTCAAAACACTATTTCGTTTAATAATGACCGATATTCAGTACACAATGTGGGGGTCGAGGCAGAATCAATTAGCAAAGAAACAAGCGATTGCAAATTCGGCTGCAGAAACACGTAACCCTTTGCAAACCGTTACTGCAGATGCTTTGATGAGGCAAGGTAAACAAGTCTCTGACACGGTGCAAGCCCGGAGGACGTGCCGCGCTGGGCTGCAGCAAATAACAGATAGCAGTGCACACCTCCAATTCTATTCCGGACACAAACACGCAGAGAATGCCCTTTACCCATATTAAACAGCAAAAATGGGAGGCAAAAACAAAAATAGCAAACATTTTTAACAGCAGAACAGACGTCTCTGCCTCACAATGGCCCTTAAAAAACACTCAAACCTGTTTAGCAAGTATTCCTAAACTGATGTCGCCGAAGCAAAGTAGAGACATCATAGCCATCAACAGCCCAGGCATTAACTCTATTTCCATTAGTCCCACCGAAATCACTCATTCTGTAGAGCAGAGACTGCTTCAGTCAGGGGGAGAATCAGTTAACAGAAGATTTTTCCTGAAAGCTACTCTTTTGGCAGCTAAATCCACAGGTAACCCAAGAAACAAATAGTCCTCTCTGGATGAAACAATGGTTACTGCATTTACAGCCATTAGTGGAGCAACAACTAAATACAGCCTCTCTTGTTAGCAGAAAGCCCTTCACAAAAGTATCCATCCCTCGAGTCTGGGGGAAAATGGATTTTCGTGTTTTTTACCCCTGTCTCAGAGTGGAGGAAGAGTAAAACTTTCAAAAACCAGGATTTTGCAATTTTCTAGGTTAAAGAAAAAGTTAAAAAACCCCTCTTGCAAAACCTCTGCCTTTGCAAGAGAAGAGATAAGATATTACTTCTTACGTAATAGCAGTCATTTGTTGCTTGGCAACAGGATGGAGACAGATCCTATCCCGAGGTAGAAAAAAGCAAAACTTACTTACTTACTTTTTGGTTAAGTTTTCCTGCCTACAGGATGTGGGGGAGGGAAATTTTCTTTGTTATCTAAAACCCTTAAAGTTGCTTTTTGAGTTTATCTCCACAAGACCAGAACACTGGGAGCCTGCCTGAGCAAGCAATGACAAGCTCCTTTCAGTGAAAATGAAGAAAATTGTTTTCTGATTCCTGTGACATCCACGAATGAGAACTCTCAAAACAAAGGACCGTGCTGAACAGTGAGGTCGGGTGAAGCAACAACGAGATTGGAGACTGTGGAGCGGGAAAAAAACAGACCTTGCAGAGAACAGAACAACTCATTACAGAAGTGAGTTCATAGCACCGAAAACTGCCGTCTCCCTAGGTGACAGTTAGCAGCCAATCGGATGCTGCGGTCACACTTTTTGCCTTATAAGGAATGTTTTTCTCTTTGTGTTTGGTTATAAAATGGTTGCGACCCCCAGTAAACTTGTCTCAGTTTCTCCCCATGCTAGGTCCATGTCCTTAATGTCTTGCAGGTTCCCAGGTGTATTCATTGTTCCTGCAGAAACTCCTGGACTTTTTGTAAATGTTTTTTAGATTGTGACCTTTTGATTTGCTGGGATTGTGCTCGGGTTTGGATCCACTCTGCTGTTCAGACCTGTCTGTTCCTGCAGTTGCCCAGAACCAGCTGCTGTAATCCGACAACAGTTTTACTTCTAAGCAGTTCTGGCCTTTGTATTTGTTTTGGAAGAACAATTCCAGAAGGAGCGGAGGATGCCAGAGCAGGAGATGCATCTCCCGGGTGTTCAGACTTCCCTGGAGTCAGATACCATTCATCCAGAACCTGAGCTGTCACCCCATGTGCTCCCCTGTTGAGGGAGCATTCCCCTCTCTGGATACCCCTGTCCATACCAGGACAGTCTGTCTGGCTGTCCCTGAAGTGTCCTGAGTTGGGAATTGCTATTTTTTTATGGACTTGTTCCTGGGGCTGGGAGAGCTCCCTGCCAGCCTCCCCTGGGAGCCATATCCCAGAGAGAGAGGGTGGCTGTACCCCTCCTCAGCTGCACTACAAGAGCCCGGCTTGCACTGTTCCTGTATTCTGTGAGATGGGTTTTAATTCCTGTTGTGAAGCCACAGCTTTTCTCTGGGCTTTGCTAAACGAGGTCTCTGCTGACAAGAGGAACAGCTTGAGTTCCCTCTGCTTGTGGCATTGTCAGAAATGGATGGAGGTGGATCATGGTCACACTGCTTTTGATGTTGAAGAATGCTGAGCCCAGCCTGACACGTCAATCCCAAAACCCAACATCCCAGTCCAATTATCAATTGAAATAAATTATTTATTTTCCCTATACTAATTGATTTGGTTTGCCAAAATTAATTCTGTGGGACAGAGTTGCATAAAGGCTCAATTCCAGCTCCACAATCCTTCAGACATGAATGCCTGACCTTGTCTGGGGCTGGGATTGGATCCAGCTGCTCCCAGGATCCTCTGGGTAGTTTGGAAAGCCTGTCAGTCCTGCCTGCACCCCGTGATCCAACAGGAGGGGCTCTCTGATAACCCTTGTCCTAAGCTCCTGTTCTCCTCATGACAGTTGGTCACTTTGTATAATGGCGAGTCTTCGCGAGCGAAGATTTGGGAGAGGTCATTGACCCTTCGAGCCTGCGCAGTGGATGTTTTTAGGTGAGACACAGCGTGTGCTGAACTGAGCCCACCCTTTAATCCTGAGGTTCATCTGCCGGGGCCGAGCAAGCTTGGACAGTGGCAGTGAGGTCCCCAGGACGTAGGTTTGTTTAGAGTGACCTTCTCTTAGATGGATTGCCTTA